CCTATCCATATCCACTCACCTCTACACATCAAAGGATGCTAACTGCAAATATCTGCAATTCTCTACTTAGGTTTTCTGGTTTCAAGAGATGGGTCTCCTATAGGACAAGCCTAAAGTGCTTGAGGGTTGATGCCCCTGGAATCAACAAATGACAGAGAGTATTTGGTGGATATACATCCCAGCTTCCTCAACTCTCAGTTGGGATAGTTTTGAGGTATATTCTACACTGTCTTCCAGGGTTCCTAGGCGGAACAAGCTCCAGTTACCCAAAGTGATGACTAGCCTGAAAATGCACCCTTTATTGGCCTCGTTCCTTCCTGTCCCACTTACTCACTCCACTACCAGTGTTTCCTAGGCTCACCTCTCAAAAATATCATCTCTACTTGACTCCTTGTCTCAGGGTCTGCTTCTGAGGATCATACGGGAAAATACTTGGGATTGTCCTGACAATATTTGACTTCCACCATCTGACATTTAAATCTTGAAGCCATTGAGATGCTATCCTGCTGTGGTGCAGTGGAGCTTTCTCAGTTGACTCAGTGTTCATCCTACAATCCAGACATACCTGGATCTGGGGTTGGATCTGGGGACTAATGGAGTAAATTCACCAGGAGCCTTTTTTCATTAAGGTTCAAGGAACTTCCTGGGAAATAACTTACCCTAAAAGAAGAAAGAGTTGAGCCTTACCAAGTTGGTCCAAAGACTTTAGATCAGTACTGGTGGGAGGAAGGGATGTGGGTTGAGACAGTATTGAGTAGTATGTTAATATACCTTCTACATTCTCATAGGCAGGACATCCTTACTCCATACCCATGATCTTCTGAAGGCCCTCTAGTGGAGAATGGTGAGGGCGAGGAGAGGGAAGGCAATGAAAAAGAGGGAGAAAAATAAACTAGAATATATGAAATGGCTGCTTTCCTTACAGTTGCTAAAGGAGGTCAAAACAGAAACTTGCTCTTCTTTTTGTTATTGTATCCTAGTTTTATCCTCAGATCAGTGTGTCATGGGGAAATATTAGTAAAACTTCGATCAGCTTCTCATAAATATAACTTTCTTGATAGAAGCCTGGCTTGGTACAGCAAAGACATCTAATTCCTAAAAACCTACCAACTCTTCTCTCAACATCATATTCTGGGACTTTCCTACTGGAAAACAAAATAAAGCCATTCCCTTCTCTCCAGTCATACAAATTATGCATTGGGCATATTGCCACTGATAGTCTCAAGAGGGCTGACCTGCTGGCTTGCTCTCTTATCCCTTGCTTTCCTATAAAACTGATATGACCCCTAGTATCAGCATGAACAAAATTGTGAATGGGACCTCCTCATGGCTTATGGATTCTGAATCCTCCAGGAGCATCCCACAATGCCCCTGTCTGTTGGTTTTGCCCTTGAGTATCTAATTTAACTGACAAATCTGAAGAATCACATGGAAGCAGCCACCTCCCCAGCGACTTCACAGATGGGAACCCCACAGTGTGTAAGTTATTCCAGCAAGTTTGACATTAGCTTATGTTGAACATTTTCCTGACAGGTCTGCTCATTTCTTAACAGCATAAAACAACTCACTGTTATTAGGCATGAGTCTCCCTTGACTTGATAAATACCATGGCCCTATTTCTGGCTGTTTTTATGGACGTCCTAAAGGCATCTGAATATGGCATTTTACATTTGGCAGACGCTGATCAACAACAATTTTTTCTAATGAGTCTTGGAAGCCTCAGCCTTAAATGCACAGGGTCAAATATTCCAACAAGTGAAGGATATCCAGCTCTACGGACAAGTGCACTTTTGAGGGTGAATGGAGGTAGGGAGGACATTCATATGGCCTGAGCACATGTGGGCATGTTTTGCAAAATCAACTTAGCTGCAAATTTAACCTGAAATCAAATCATGTCTTGACATTATGCCTGGCAGGCATTATATAGTTGTTAGTTTCAATCACAAGAACAATTACTTCAAGTTATGATACAGACCACTTTTTAAATTCCTCAGGCCAGCAAAGTCTTCCTAGGATACAGCTAGCTGCAAAAAAATCAGTAGATGAAAGAAGTGCAATACTTTAAACTTTCAGCTTTTATTAACATTTTGTCAGTCAATTGGCAACAGGCACAGAGACCTGGCACTACACCAACACCATGTGCATGGTGCCGAGAGAGTGCAAATGAATGCGGAAGACATGACCCGTGGGCTCAGAAAACGTGGTCTACATAGAGAGTCAGAGCTTACTGAATAAGCATACCCCAAACTGAAGGGAGAACACAGAAGTCTATGTAAAGACGAGATAATGAATGCAAAGCACTTAGTTCCATGCCAGGGAGACCCACAGTAAACACTAAAGGTGGAGTAGCTATTATGGTTATTTTATTAGAAAGCTTAAATTCATAATTACATAAATACTGAGAGGAAACAAACTCAGGTTGGAGGGGGGGAGTTCTGAGTCAGATTATAAAGGTTTGGAGATTCAGGTTGGAGCAGAGAAAACACAGGGCCCCTTCCCATCAGAAAGAGCTGATTAAGCCACAACACAGTTGCAGAAGTGAGCCGATTTTATGCAAGGGCAGCAGGTCTGGCTAATCTCAAACAAAGATTCCATCAAGGAGAAGTTAAAATAAGAGGTTATTGAGACGGGAAGGTGGGCAATCACCTTAACGGCTAGGCAGAGGAGTTTGGATTTAATAGAGTGAGAAAATAAGGATCTTTAGGCAGGCCAGCCACATAATTTTCAGAGCCCAGAGCAAAACAAAAATGTGGGTCTCCTTGTTCAAAAATTATTAAAAATTTCAAGACTGACAGGAGAGCATTAAACCAAGTGTGGAGCTCTTCTGAGCCTGAGCCCTGTGTAAATACACAGTCAGATGCCCAGGAAACCAGCCTTCTCTTTCAGAGTGTGATGGTGAGTATATTTCCCAAAGACTATGATTCTAGCATCTACTCATGCGACGCATTGAAAAGGAAAATATTTGGGGTAGAGAGATTCATAAGGTGGCTCTTTAATGTTATTTGTCAAGAAACATTGCAGAAAAAAATCTGAGAGAAGTTGACAATAGAAAAGACGTAAGGCATAAAGGAGAATGAGGGTTTGAAATCACTTCAAGTTAAGCAGGAGTATTTAAAAAAGGGAAAATACAGAAATACTGAAAGAGTGCTTTTAAATGACCAACTTATTTCATTAACTGATGGCAGTAATCCCTCTGTAAAATGTGCTGACTGATGTCCCAGGACACTGTATGCTAGCACTAGATGGAAACCCAAGAGGGGCAAAGGTTTTTGTCAGCTTTGTTCATTTCTGTACCCTCAGGAGCCCAGCATATAGTAGTGTCTGGCAAACAGTGCCTGGCATGTAGTAGTCACTAAATAAAGATTAAATGAATGAATGAATGAGCCTGTGTTGGTATACTCCTCTCTAAGAGACTCTGTGATTCTACTCTAAATTGAATTCCTTTATCCTTATCTAAAGTCAGTTACTTTCCCAAACCTGTTAATGCCACTTGTATTTGTTATTATAATCATATAAACTATTCAACTATGGAAACCAGTGAAGTGTGTCTGTGAAGAGAGTTTTTATAAAAACTTGACTGAATCATTGGAAAGACTCAATAAAGGAAGGTTATTGGGGGAAATGTTATCAATTAGATGTGGAAAACATCACAAAAGAATGGGGGAAATAAATAAAATTCTAGAATTCTTGACTCAGATTGCTTTGCTCTAAGTTCTCACTCCACTTTAAACAGCCTAAAATGGGAAACTGTAGCCTATTATGGATGTGTTCAATGCAGGAAAGACTTTGCAGCCTTCTCACAGCAGACTCAGGCTCAAAGAAAAGACCTTAGCCCTACATCAAAAGACAGATGAAAGACTGTAAGGTTACTTATTGCTACCATTTATTGAGTACCTACTATGTGTCAGGCATAATAATATCTTCTCCACTCACATTATCACTGATTTAGATGGCAACACTGCCAGGTAGTATCCTTAGCCCCATTTCATAGACAAAGAATCTATGCTCATTTGCTCAGTTAGGTTGTTATTTGCCTCAAGGCTACACAGAAAGTTCCAGAGCTGGATATAAACACAGAATCTTCTGGCTCCAAATTCCAGGATCTTTCTACCATGTAACACTTAAATAATTTGCTCAAAGTAACTGACATCTTCCTACTGTAAACCTAATTTACTTTCCATTACATCAAGTTAACTGAATATTTTAATGAACTGACCAACCACTGAGTTCTGATTGCATCAGATAAGAATAAATCAAAATAAAATTGAATAAATAGATGAATACATAAGCAAACTAACTTAAAGGAAATAAACTAAAATGTCAGCATATTAGGCCAATGGCCTAATTATAGATTAAAATTTTATGTAATATAGTTATAGATAATAGTTTATATTTATACTTTATTTTATTATTTTACACTTACATTTAACATATATTTTAATTTCTACTGACCCCATTATTTGTGTTTTCTATCCTGGGAAATCCCTTCCTGATACCAGGTTACCTGGGAGGCAAACGTAATCAGAATGCTGATTGGTGAGCACAGACTGAAAATTACTTTGGAATGATGTTCTATGCAAACTCTAGAAAAACCCAATGAAGTATCCCTACTCCATAGCCAAATACACTGCTTTGATGACCAGACAATGGTATTCCTAAATTCAGTACCCTACCACCATCAAAAGTTCCTTTGCGGTGAGGAAAGTGATGAGGAAGAAAATTGATAAGCTATATATAACAGGCAGAATGGCCCCCCCAAAGATGTCCAAGCCCTGATTCCTGGAACCTGTGAATCTGTTTCCCTATGACAAAAGGGACTTTGCAGATGTAATTAAGGTAATGGAGGCTCAGAGGCTCACCTGGATCTACATGCTCAAAAAATCAGCTATCTGTCTTGCCCCATCTTCTCAGTTCTGCTTGTCTGTGTTGACTTCATTCCCAGGTATGCTCTTCCCACAAGACGGCAAGAGAACCTCCAACAATCTGAGCATTCATCTTACCAGTTTGGTGACACCAGTGGAAAGAGAGCCTTTGCAACTCTTCCCAGAAAAGTCCTGGTGCCCTTTGGACTGCTTTTTGGCCACATCTTGAACCAATCCCTATGGCAAGAGAGAAAAAAAATATATGGATGGGTCAGCCCTGGATTATATGCCCAACACTGGAACCAGGAGGAAAGGCCGGCAAAAGTGTGTCAACAGAAAATAAGAGATGAGCGTGAAAAGTGGGCCCAGAGAAAAGTCTTTCTCCCTTTCCTCTTTCTTTTGACTTCACCATGGTCCCCACCCAGGATGCCGATTGAGGTGGTCTGTATCTTCTGCTGGGCACTCTATGACAGCTTACTTACGTACCCAGATTAGATTTGTACATCTACCTCCTTGTCATTATAACATAGGGAGTGGTTCAGTGTCCTGGACCCCGGTTTGACACCTGTACAATCCTCCCTTGATGAAAATCCTGATGCAGTTGGTTTTCCTCCAAATGTATGCAAAACACATTATGCTCCTTTGATCACAGTTATGCAAAGAACCAGATGTTTACTTTTCATTATCTTACAGGTAACAGTTGGTGTTTGAATGACCTACCTCGTACTTCACTGTCCTTTTCCTTTGAATTCTGTTTTGGGGTGTGTGTTCACATGCACAACTGTATGATTTTTCTCAGATGATTTTTCTTAGATTGAACTTAAACATACTAACATAGTGTTTTGGTTTTCTACCGCTAAAGCAACAAATTACCACAAATTTAAAGGCTTAAAACAACCCTCAAAACATTTATTATCTCCCAACTTCATGGATCAGAAGTCTGGGCAGAGCATGACTCAACTGGCTCTTCTGATCTAGGTTTCACAGATCAGATCAAGGTGTGAGCCAAGCTGCTTTCCTGTCTGGAGGCTCTAGGGAAGAATCTGCCCACAAGCTTATTCAAGTTGTCGTTAGAATTTTGTTCCCTGGGGTTGCAGGGCTGAGGCCCTGTTTGCTTAACGGCTCTCAGCCAAGGGCTGCCCTTCACTCCTAAAGGCCTCTCTTCAGGCCTCATAGGTGGTTCCTACACTCAGTACAAGCAGCAGCACTTCAAACCCTCCTCATGCTCGGAATCTCTCTGATTCTACCACGTGTCTTCGACTCCAACCAGAGAATCTTCTCTGCTCTGAAGGGCTTCTGGAATTACACTGGGCCCACTTGGATAATCCATGTCTATAATCTTAGCTGCAGATGCAAAATCCTTTTTGTTATACAAGAAAGTATATTCACAGGCTCCAGGGATCAGGGCTTGGACATCTTTGGGGGACCAGTCTGCCTTTTACATATAGCTTATCAATTTTGTTCCTCACCACTTTCTCCACTCCAAAGGAACTCATACTTCTGATGGTAAAAGAGTACCAAATATTGAGATTCCATGATCTGGTCATCAAATCATCTATTCAGTTGTGGAGTATGGATATTTCATCGGGCTTTTCTAGAGTTTACATAAAACTTCCTCCCAAAGCAATTTTCACTCTATGCTCACCAGTCAGCATTCTGATTAAATTCACCTCAGGTAAGTTGATATCAGGATGGGACATTTCAGGATAGAGAATGCAAATAATTCAGTAGAAATTAAAATATAACTATAAATTAATATATAAATGTAAAATTATATATATTGATAAATTAAAATGATGACATTCGGCTGTCAACTGGAATTGATCACGTGAGTCAATAACCAAAAGAATGATCGTGTCTAGGAGTACTTAAAACACTCAGCGTCCTCACTCTAATATGGTGGCTCAAATGAGTTGATCCCCTGAGAGATTGTGTCACTAGGGCCATACATCAGCCTTATTGTGGTCTCCCTCCCCACAAATCACCACTGAACAGAGATATTGGAAAATAATTTTTATACAGATGTTAACAGACATAACATAATCATAGGACCTTCTCCAAGAGTGTCTATCAAGACAGAAGAGTCAGTAGACCAGGATCTTGTGAGAAGACACTGGTTATTAGTAGGTAGGGATGAAGAAAGGGGTAATGGATATCCCAACCTGGGAGGAATGAGCCATCCTGTAAGAGGTACTTCTTAGCCTGCCTCTCTTAGCGTCTTGACTGTAATTGTTAATGAGATCCATTTGGCATCCCGAGCAATTCCTGGGGATGTTATTTATCAATGGATATTATAAATATAACTAATGAATCCCACCCTGTGGAATGGGAACAAAAACCCATGTGCATATCTGTACGCATATATATGCATACACATATTATACTTGTGTGTATATATTTAAATAGGATTCTGTGTGGGCTTGGTGTTCATTTCCAATCCCTTAGGGCTCTGCTGCATCCCATGCTCATGCCATCTGTGTGGCCAGTGGATCTCCATCAGAGTCCTAAATCCTGCCCCTTTTGTATTCGTGCCATCTTGGTTGTCAAGCTGCCATACTTTTATATTATCATTTGACACCAAACACTACTTTTCCTAATTTGTCATGGCTAAACTTCTGGGGAATGGCTAAACTTTTTGTCATGGGGAATGCGTGCTCCCCATCCACTGCTTCATCATGTCACATCAGAATTCTTGGAAAAAAGTACTACTTTTATTACTATATTACTTTCTTCTGTAATTTTTTTTACTATTTTTGTACTTTTTTGTTTACAGTTATTTATTGCTGTATTACTTTTTTCACTCTGCTAGAATTTCTGCACTAACTGTAGACTCTTAAATCACCTGTTTAGGAAGAGAACCTGGAGGTCAAAGAGGAAAGAAGAGCCACTGGCCAAACTCCACTTGCAGCTGGACACCATGAATATATCATAGAACAGGTTGACTGCCTACGACTTTCATAAAAGCTTGATTTTCATTAGATTTCCCCTCCAACTTTTCCATAATCTAGGCTTCCTACCCTGTGTTAATTATAGTTCTGACCCCAAACCAACAAACTAAGAGGCTGCATGTTGTGATGGAAAGTGTGCTCGACCAGACGCCAAAAACTGTGAGGTTTGGGGCCAACTCTGGAGCAAACCAGCTGTGTGACCTTGAACAAGTCACTGCATCTCTCAGAACCGTTGTTCCCTCACTTCTTTAATGAACAGTTAATAAAATTATGCCTATGATTTCCTCCCAGTCTACGTTATGTTATTCTTTGACCTGATTCCCTTTCTTCTTACAAGTAATATACTCTATATAACAAGATAATCTACGATTCTTATAAACCAGGCTAAGTTTTTATTACTACTTCCTACTAAACATAAATTACTACTCGTGAACTATATAACACTAAAAATGAACACTACATGCAATTTCAAACACAATTTTGTTAAATTTATTTCAGGTATGATTCAGCAAATGAGGTATTTAACATACCACTGTGAGGGTAAACCTTGGTTTTAAACCCCAGCAAATAAAAACTGGATCTGAAAAACTGGAGCTAAGATTGGCTGGGGTCCATCATCTTTATGAGAGTAGAGGGACTTAGAATATACCATTTGCCTAAGGACCAGGCAGATAATCTGGAACAAGAGGGCAGGGGGTGGTAAATTGGTAGGAAAATTAAAGATACATTTTCCCCAGCTGTTTGATTTTTCACGCTGTTGAGTTTTGAGGCTATAGTATGTAACTCGAATATGAAACATCCCTGGGAGGAAAGGAACTCATTTAAAATTATGTTAGTTGTAGAATTATAACTAGGTGTAAAGCAAAGAAAGTAGTTATCTATTATTCATTCCTTCTGAATAGACATTTCCTGTCTGTGAATACAAAGCATGACTAGAATTCACTTGCTGAAACTTGGAGATGCTATGAGAGAACATTTCATTTTCATTTGATCTGCCCTTGTGTATGATAATGGAGCTTCTTTAAACTACTGAGACGTTAGTCTGTTCTCCATATATTGCACCCCGGAAAAATTACTCCTTCCCCTGGCCCCATTGGGGTGGGGAGGGGGTGAAATTAACCTCAGAGTTTTAGTGTCTTGCCCAAGGTCATCCCAAGGCTCTGTCTCCTTAGGCAATTCTAGCCACAAAAATCAGTTAAGCTAGTTAGCTATGTATCTATATGTGACTGCCTATATTACATGAAGGATTTCTCTTACTGATACCTGATGCCACCCAACCAGCACGCCAGATTGACCAAAAATTAACCTACCTCCTTGTTCATTCCAAGTGTCTCTAGGTATTGAGTGAGCCTATGAAGGTGACTTCTCTTTAGCATGGTGATTGAAAAGAAATGTCTTGCTAGAGACAGTGTGTGGAACATAGATGTGTGGACACAGATGAGCCTCATGCTCAATTGCTAAATCAAGTGCACTGTCTCCTGACCAAGGCCTTGATCTGAACCAAAGCATAAAACCACAGGCTGCAAGAACCTCCCTAAACAGAGATAAGACTTCCTTTGGTTACCTTCTTTTGTTTTTTTTCCTCCAATTAAATTATGCACAAAATCAACTTTAATATTCAGTCAGTTTTGACCTAGAATCTAATCTACTTATTTTCTAAAAACTCTTAAATCAGAACATAATCTCATTGAATTGATGTGTCATCCAGTTCAAGCCCTCCAAAGATTGATGGCTAGGTGGATGGATAGGTGGATGGATAGACTGGAAGCTAAAAGGATGGATGGATGGATGAATGGATGGATGATGGATGGATAATAGATGGATAGATGAAATGGATTAATTCCTTTTCCTGGACTAGAGTTACTGGTTCCAACCTCTAAGAGTACAGAAAGTACCTCTTCATGTAGATACCCCCTTGCTAAAATCCTGCACTGATTAAAAAGTGAATGTAAATTTTCTCTGATGAGCTTTTTATCATGTTCCTGAGAAGGAGAAGTCTGATATACAGTAGTAAAACAAAAATAAACAAACCTATAATTTGGAGTAGAAGCTCTGGGGAAAATAACAAGGTTTTCCAATCTGCCAGATCATAATTAACAGTGTAAAGAACTAAAGGGAAGTTCAGGAAGGAGTGCTTAAACCGCTTTGTAAATTTAAAAACAAGTAATGATCTCCATTGCTGTTCTCCAGGTTTATTCAAATTTGGACAATTAGGACAATTAAACATAAAACAGAGACAGTTCTAAAGAGGGAGCTGCAACAAAGCAGAATAATTGCTGGTACAGGCTA